TAATGTTAATTTTTGTAATTTTTGCATTTTTAAAGTAGCATTGTGCAAAATTGTACGCATCAATTTTCAAAATATTTGGGGGTTTGGTGGGGGTCAGTGGGGGCTATGAAATGCACCATCGATATCAAGAATCCCTTTCACAATGATAAGGTGGGACACCTCTTTTCTAATGTTAAAGTAAACAGTACCCATATAAATATTGATAACTAAATATTGTACCCACATAAATATTGTCAGTACAACTCGGTTATATTACTACAGCGATGTCATCTGATTATACATTTATTCAAAGTATATAAAAAGGGATTGCGAGCAAACATTTGTCAAATTAAAATATTAGAGTCAAAAACTTTAAATTAGAAATTTTAATAAAAATTGTAATCTTAAACATCCAGTGAATTATGAGTTTACTTTTGGGGTCAGTGTTGGCACCGATTTATGAGACATACCAGTGGTGTCTCATCGGAGCCATTGTAGCAGTGCTGGCGTATTACCACTTGTAAGACATTTATTGGATTTAAATTACATTTAATGATAATAAATATATAAAACTAATCCTAAAATCCTCATTCATTCAGTTCGTGGAGGAATGCCTTAAGCTATTGGAAGGATCGACACATTTCTGGTCCAAAACCCATCCCATTCTTTGGAAACTTCTTGAGTCCTGTCCTAAAAGCGCGTCCATCTGTGGAGTTGGAGTGGTATAAGACATACGGCAAACTTTTTGGGTAAAATAAATTTATATACCATACTTTGTTTACTAAAACCAATTAACACCCTGGGTATTTTGGCAACCATTTCACAGGGTATTTACGTTCGCAAAGCCTAAGCTAACGGTTGCCGACCCGGAGCTCATCAAACAGATTCTGGTCAAAGACTTTAGTAAATTCCGGAACAGAGGCGATACGGCCGGTAGACATCCAGTGATCTCGAAGAATATGTTTAACTCCAGAGATGACGACTGGAGGCGGGTCCGGGCGATAGCCAGCCCTACCTTCACGTCAGGAAAATTGAGGAAAATGTATGCTCTGATCA